CCTCTGCAAGCCTAACACTCTTCATCCTCTTCAACCGCAACATCAACCCCTCACGCTCGTCCACAAGCTACATTTAAATTATCATCGCCATTTACTTTAATAATGCATCTGTGCAATACCATCTCATCATCGCTGGATGCGACGCCATGGGCCTTCATGGCATACGGGGGACTTGCCTTTCTGCGGTGCCGCGGCTCTCCTGAGCCGAACTAAATCACTTTCATTATCGCTATTTAGTGAGAAACTATATTTTGACTCGACTTCCTGATTTTGATGGAGCCGACTTGCTATTTTATACCGAAATGGTAAGATGCGCAGTTTGTTTGAAAACAACATCGTGGGCATTTATTCTACACCTTTCACCCTTCAAAAAAATGAACCTTCAAATCTCGACCAAACTTCTTCCTTCCCAAAGATTTGTGTGTTGCGCCGAGAGGCGAGGACCACATTTCGCGCTGTTCCTCCCTAAGTTTCGTAGACCGACGATAATGGTGATAATTCACAGCTATTTCTTTCTTCGGTTTGGTTGCGAGAGCCACCAAGCGCCCAGCAGTAACAGTTCCTACCGTGCGAATGCAATGGCCTGAGGAGCGCAGCAAACGCGATAAAAATCTCGGGGGCCATGATCAGGTGTAGGAGGATTACATTTAAAAACATCAAGCTGGGTGGCGAAAGTCGGTTCTCAATCTAGTGGGATCAGTTGTACGCATGAAATAATTCATCCATCGTCGATAGGTAGGATTTTGTATTTTCAGATAAATACAAAAAAAAAAATCCGAAAAACAGTCGCCGGCAAAATTTCTGCGAATTTGGATTTATCCGATTAACTTCGAGTTTCGATATCCTAATGCATGAAGAAAAAAAAACGTTCATAAAAAATTAGGTTAGAAATTAGAAAGTGCCCGGGGGAATCAGTGCCCTAGTGGGCTGGCGTACACAAGCTCGGAGCACGTGGAGCGAAAGCTCGCGCTGATCTTGGGTCCAATCCCCCACCCGTGCCCGTTTCGATGTGGCCGAGCATCGTACCGGCGTGCGGTCGTGTATCACTACTGCGTGGTGCACGTTGAGACCCCAGGCTAGCAGTTGTGCTGCACTGGCTAAATTTTTCCTCTACAGGTGGGAGATAAGTCGCCCGTTGAGGCAGACTAGGCTCTAGGCTGTATAAACATACACACACCCAAATTTATAAAGTGCCACTCCAGCTTTTTTTTTTTTTTTTTTCATCTTTTCTGGATTATTTGACAAAAAGTTCTTACCATTTATCTCGTCAAAGTTCCCTCAGGACCACAGGCAATTGTAATTCTAGGTCAGGATAAAAAGAAACCTGTTCCTGTTTCCAGTTTGGACTACACTATTTGTGTTTCTTTAAGAAAGGGCGGGTTTAATTAAATTTATTAAATTATTAAATAATTTATTTAGCTCAGGAGAGTCGGGAGTTCGCTGAAAGGCCGAATGCCCGTACCCGGTTGGCTTGCAAACACCCAATTTAAATTATTGGACGTGGTGCCCGGTCCAGTAAAAGTGATCATTGGATGATATATATATTCATTCATTCATTCATTCATTCATTTCATTCATTTGTTTATTTTCTGTGCTCATGAACAGCTTGATGCCTTGGTAATGATGCGCAACAAAATGTTCAAAGGTTAGTTACAAAAGTCTTAAAAGCTACGAAATTTGGGTTGAAAACATCAATATCTGCTTCCCTGAGGGTATTGTAGAAGTGTTGAATACGGATCATGGGACTAGTTGGGATGATGTGATTAACATGGAAAGTTGGAGAAACCCGCAAAACTCGACTCGGAACGTGAATATTCATAGCAGATCTGAGATCTGGGCAATCAATTAATCCATGAATACATTTATACAAGAAAACAAGATCGCGCTCACGCCGTCTGGAACTCAAGATAAGGCATTTGCATCGTTCCAAGAGTCTCGCATAAGAATAATAAACAGTACGACCAATGAAACGATCGTAAACAATTCAAAAAAAAGTGAAAGCCGTTTACAACTCCCTGTAACACCGAATTAGAGCGCAGCTCTTGAGGAGGAGGAGGGAAGGGTACTGGGGGGTGAAGTGACCTTAGGGGTCACGTGACCTTGGGGGGTCACGTGACGATGCCGATGATGTCATCAGTGACGTCACTGATGACGTTATCCGTGATGATGACAATGACAATGCGGATGCCGGTGACGTCACCAGTGACGTCACTGGTGACATCATCAGTGATGATGACGATGACGATGCGGATGCCGGTGAGGTCACCCGTGACGTCACTGATGACGTCATCAGTGACGATGACGATGTGGACTCCGATGACGTCATCAGCGATGATGACGATGACGATGCGGATGTCGGTGACGTCATCAGTGACGTCACTGATGACGTAATCCGTGATGATGACGATGCGAATGCCGGTGACGTCATCAGTGACGTAACTGATGACGTCATCAGTGATGATGACGATGACGATGCGGATGCCGGTGAGGTCATCAGTGACGTCACTGATGACGTCATCAGTGATGATGACGATGACGATGCGGATGCCGGTGACGTCATCAGTGACGATGACGACATCGGGGAGGTCACGTGACCTCGGCGGGGGGGTGGTCACGTGGCTTTGGGTGTCACGTGACCTCTGGGGGTCACGTGACCTTGGGGTGACCTTGGTTACGCCGACGCCGACGCCGCTCAAGCCGGGAACGGGCCCCTAAGAGCTGCGCTCTAAAACGCTTTTGGACATTTTCAATCATCTCTTAGCTCGTAGAACTAATAGAATTCCAGACTACAGAGGAAAACTCTAACTTGGTCCGGATTAACGAAAAATATAACCTAAAAATACAGGTTGATGTGGAGAACTCACGCGCGATTCTAGAAATTACCCCCAGCTTAGGCAAAGAGCCATTTATAAGGTTGTTGACATGTACAGTAAAGTATAACGAAGAGTCTATGTATACACCAAGATCACGCGTGCCCTCGACTCTTCGCAGAGGATCATTGCCAATCTGGTAACAAAAGTTAATCTTTTCTACCTTTCTAGACAAAGACATAACAACGGTTTCAGAAAGATTGAGCGTTAGCATGTTCTGACGACACCAACTGCACACACGCCTAACAACCTCCATAAGTTTTTCACAGTCTTCCAAGGATATGATCTGCCTAAACAACTTGACACCATCTGCATATTGCTGGACGACCGAATTGCGAACAATTGAGCTCAAATCATTAATAAAAACATTGAAAAAGATTGGCCCAAGTATGGAGCCTTGCGGCACAGCCGAAGAAGAAACGTAAGGCCGGGAGTGATGTCCAATTACACGAACAAAATTGTGTCTATTAGACAAATAATCTAGAAACAGGGAACAAAGGGAGGTACTCACGCCGTATGATTCTAGTTTGTGTGCAAGGAGCGAATGGTCTAGTAGGTCAAAAGCCTTAGAGAGATCAAAATATACAACGTCGACCTGTCCACGTTGACACACAGTAGGAGAAACAAAATTTAAAAAAAGACACCAGATTTGTCTCAACCGACCTTCCACGCATGAAGCCGTGTTGTGAAGGACTTATCTTATGCTTAAAAAAGTTTGAAATGCGCTCAAATAAAACAATTTCATAGACCTTAGCAAAGGGAGATAGTAATGACACAGGTCTGTATATATATACAAAGTGCATGATGATTGCTGGGAATTTGCAACAGAGAAAGCAATAAACCACAAATTTCATAGAAGGGGAAAAGGTTGTTGAATCGTCTAGATCAATTTACCACTGCACTCCGCGCAACCACAGGGTAGGGTGAATGAGTAAAATGGGATCAAAAACGTGCTTCCCAGCGACTACCCTCATCAGTTTAGTGATTTTAAGGTATCAACGAAGCAAGACTTGTTTATAAGTTACCATTGACAAATTACTACTGATCACACCAAGGGCTCCAGCGCCTCTCTAACTGAAGAAATATTTTAATGCAAGCGCGTTTTTTTTTAAATTCAGCACAGGTTCACACCCGAATATTGTATATTTTTATGTTTTTAAAATAGGAGACAATGAAAACTTCTCCAGAATTCGGGGAATTGGGAAAACAACAAAATAAACTCCAATCTCTAATAAACTCGAAGTTTAGCGCTCCCTTCCCCTTCCCTCCCCTCCCCTCCCCCAATCCCCCTCCCTCCCCCCCCCCCCCCCCAAAAAAAAAAAAGAAACATCCGTTAAACATTTTTAGATTACAACGAACAATAAAACTCGAAAACAAGGAACCGTTCCCATAGGCAGACCAGTGTCAAAGTGTCGTGAATGCAGAAATCCCTTTTGCTACACGAGGCTAAATCTCGAAGTTTAATAAAGGGAGTGTTTTAACACTTCTGAGAGTATTGTGGAAGTCATACCTTTCGAATGTCTACAAATCTGTATACCATGCGTGCAAAGTTCACTAATCAGCACGTAGAAGTTCACCACCTTGGAAGAAATACGCAATATGGGCCTTGGAATATGTCGATCCAGTTCACGGATTTCTGACTGCTACAGTTTGTTCAACGCGATTATGGTCACTCTCATAACAGCAGGGCAAGCCTTTCGAAACTCCGGCCTCCAACATTCGCTCCGTGCCTTCCGCTGTACATTGGCTGCGCTCGCGCTTGAGGTGCACAAGACGCTGAACCGACATCGGAGAAATGAAGTTCACGCTGGAAGCGGGACAACTGAAGCTCCTTCATGGCGTTGTCAGCTTGTCAGCAACTACAAACGCTTAACGCACGCGCCAGATTACAGCCGCCATTGCTGAGCTCTCTTGCATTACTGAGATGCTGAGCCACTGAAGCGGGCGTTGACGAATCTCCACAATGGCCTATGCTAGGGAGAAGGACACAGTGGAACCTAACATGGCAGTAAACTGTCCTGCTGCTGTAATGATCAAGTGAAGTAAGCGTAATGAGAGGAAACAAAAACTGAATTTCGGTAATGACGGCGCCCATGCAGAGATGCTGCGAAGCGTGTATAGCTGTGCGAAAAACTTTAAGTACATTTTTATTTTCCGAATGAACACGGTTCTCTTTTCTGCAAACGTTAAGCGCCCTCTGGCATTTTCACTTCACAGCACTCCGACGATCGGTTTGTTCAGATTCAACCGATTCCTTGAACTCCTGTCGCTCCTGGTAGCCGTATCTACCGAGGTCCACAAAAATGTCTTCTTTGCTTCGATATGTTGCTTCCAATTCGCCGTAGTCGTAGCTTTCCAGGAGGCCACCGTATTCTGTGGGTAGACCTTCACGAGGAACGAATTGGTGAAGTCTCTCGTAGTCGCGTCCTATGACGTGCAACTGAAAGGAAGTAGCGTCCAAAGATATAAAAGCGTTCAGAGACAAGTAATGCCACCATGAACGTTGCTCACGATTAGGTGGAAAATTTTCAATACGATAGACACAGAAAGCGAAATAGATTAGGCATTTCAATTACATATAAACAATGTTTTTTTTTAATGTAGTCACAGAATAACTTAGTACACTTCCATCAAATATAAAAATATTTTGTGAAGCCGTCACGGAAATTGTCTACACACTCTTTTTGCAACAATATCCCAGCAGCTGTCACAGACTCTTTTTCTTGAATGCCAAGTGATGTCCATAAAGGAGTTCCCTGAATTAAAAGAAGTCTGAACTGTGTATGGTAAAAGCAAGTGTGTGCTGATAATCACATTTTATTTTCAATTGCTTTGCTTGCGGCACGTATTGTGCGTGGCCTGGCATTGTCAGGTTTCAAGAAAAGCGCCTTTCTGTTCCACGTGAGGTTTTTGTAATTGCTGTTTGTAGCGCCAAAATGTAACACTCTGAGTTCATTCCATGAAGTCAAAATGGACACAATTAAACAAAAAAAGACTGTTGCCTTAACATTTACGGTACAAGCCTGCATCGTATGCTAATCTTCGTGTTCGATATTTTCATTGTCTAGCAAGACGATTCACAGTTCTCACATACATACAGTTACAATAAACAGCTTGCACTATTTTGGGAATTCCTACTGGAGGGAGTGACACCTTCTGTTGTCGAGAATCAATTACAACGCGTTGCGTATATCGCAGTGACGAGGGTTCTGCACGGGTTTCTATATCTTCCAATGTTGCTCCATAACCATTCACTCTAACGATTTGAAACGTAATCAGGCTCTGGAGTGGAATCCACCAATACAACATTTCAGTGCTTCTCAGAGGTCGCTCCTGTAATCGGTTCACTGCTCATGAAGGTGAAGGCATTACTTTTTATTAAACATTAGTGAACATCGACCGTAATATCCCGAGAGATAGCCAACCTAAAATCAAGAGCAAATCAGGGGAAAATACGGAGTGGGCTAACTTTCGCTGTACAATCAAGAATGGTTCAAAAAAATTATATTATTAGGTCATGTGTCCCTTCGAAACTTGTTATGGTGGCGAGGGGCGACGAAGCAAAGATGACTGTGCTTCCCAGTCAGCAACGTACGCTTATATCCCGCCATAGATAAGTAGCTGCAGTTACGCCGAGGCCATCATCGATACCAATTCCCAACACTGCTATTAGTAGGAGTGGGCTATCTTTCGGTGTTTACAAATATATAGCAAATCAATTAAAAAATATGGGTGGGCTATCTTTCGGGGGGGGGGGGGGGGGGGGAATTTTTCTAGAATTTAAGGTAGTGTTCAAATATACCGTCGATATGTGTTTGGAAAAATTTCCATTGAGAAGCAAGTGCCTTCCGTTCGGCCTCTTTAGAGCTGTGCGAGGAAACTGAGAAGTTAGCTCTGGGTAAATTTTCTTCGGTATTATTTCAATGCATAGTGGAAAAAAACGAATGCGCGACTTGTAAATTCGAAACACAAATTTAATTATAAACAGTTCACGTTAAAAGTAAAGTATTCCGTTATTACCTAAGATAGCTGCCACATTACCAAGTCAATATATTATTTTTTTTCTTAAAGGCGGCTTACGTTTCAAAGCAAGTTTGTATGGCGCTGCTTTTTGTCAGGTAGTATACATCAGTACACTGGGATATCAACTATTTTTCGTTAAGAAAAATGGGCGTTAAGACGAAGCTTACTCTTTCCCGATGCTTCTGCTTAAGCAACACCCTCACACAAGCGTAGATCAGCTGAAAAACTGGAGGATTGTTTATGACGTAGACGCCTTTGACCCGCAATGGGTAGGAGTCCTGTAATTAAAAAAGCACGTATATCTTTAAGCCTTCCTGAAAGTTCCGAGTAGGTTACCAGTTATGCGTTTACTTGTGGTTTTGATCTCAAATGAAGTATGCATATACGCTCGCGTTTGCGACATAAAATAAAACAGAAAAGCAAATTCGTGGTTTTATTGAAATATGTTTTTGAACCAGGAATCACTCTCTGTTCAATGAAGAAGGCGGCTACTATACTTCGTGTCACGATAACTTGGAGAACTGTGGAGGACCCCACGACCCAATAAGGGCGTCGGAGCAAGCCACGTGGCAGTACTTCATGGCCAAGGCTATGGACGCCTCCTCACCACCACAGCAACAGCGCCGTCCGCGACAAAATGTAGTTCTAGGCTTCTTTTTATTTTAATGACAATTGAACTGGCACGATCACATCTCTATCGACACCACAGGAAAGGAAGACAATGACATGTTAGTTTTCAACGATAATCAATACGGATCAAACCTTTTCAGAAAACAACGTGGGTTTTCAACGATGTTTGTACGATGGCAGCCCTGTAATCGACCGCTTCCGTTTAGAACTTCGCCCTGGCCTTGGCACCCGCCAAAGGTTCGTCAGAAAATTGAGCGTATGGTAGTACCATGAACTGATCCCGAAGACCTCGCTACTTTAGAGGACGGCAACATTGCGGCGTTGGACGTTCATCCATATTTTGTTGGCTTCGCAGCGGACGACTCTTTGCCAGCAGACGACAGCCAGTTCCTCCGGTCCTCGCATTGGGTGCAGTGACATACACGCTCCCGTGGCTCGGTGACACGGGCCTCGCTCCGACGCTCTTATTGGGTCACGGGGGCCGTAGCCTCCACAGTTCGCCAAGTTATCGTGAAACGGAGTATGACACAAGTATGTCGCCACACCAGATCTTCTCGGCTGGCTATGGAAGAGCGAAGGTTAACTGGGTATTGCCAAGTTGCGGAGTAAACAGAACTCTTTCACCTCCACTCGGAGACGGTAGCAAGATTATTTTCTGCCTCACGGCACGAGTATCGAACATACCTACAAGAATGCTCTTCTGTACGTCTTGTTTCAGCGCTGATTCCGCGTTTTTCTGGCGCTTATTTTCAATACTGGAAGAAATATTGGAAGAAAAGTCGGTAGTTATGGGGGGTTTATAAAAGAAAACAGGAAATAGCCGTGGGATCAGCGCTGCCAACAGAAAACAAGAGCGTTCCCGGAACTGTTGGAAAACGACAAGGTTCTGAATAGGGAAGTACGTGAGGCGAAGAATGTGCTTTTAAAAGTAAAAAGAAGCCTCACAGAGAGTTATGTGGAAGCTGTGTTCCGGAATAACAAGACAAATAAACTGTAGATAAGTTATACTTCTGCGAAGCTTCAGCTTTCCTTATTCAAGGACAACGCCAAACCAGCATCTTTCGTGTTTTTTTTTTGTTTTTTTTTAATAATTTATTTTATTATTACTACACCACTTGATTGGGGCTTGATTTCCATGGTTTGTCGATATAAAGGGTGTTCAATTTTTTATTGAACAGGTTTAAAAACGAATGAAGATGAGAGTTAGACGATTGTCGTCTTCAACACGTGCTTATCAGGCTCGGCGGACATTAGATGAGGGGATGATAATCACGATAAGTTGACTAATCAATAAAAACGGGTTAATAACTTCTTAGTGATTGATTTTATGGATAACGTTGCAACTGCAGTATTGACGGCAACGACGATTAGAGCACAGACCAATTAAAAGTATTTAAAAAAAGATATTGTATTTTGTTTAGATATTACGTGACAAATTTTCACGTAATTCAGCCCGATTAAAAATTAGCGCGCAAGAAGCGCTCCGCCAACACTGCCCGCAATCACGCGTAGAAAAGTGACGTAGCAGTTTCGGTAACATCACTTGTGCCGTATGCGTACCCCCCACCAAAGACCAGACTTGGGAAGAAATCCGCTAAAGGTAACGAATTACTTGTAATCCGTTACTTTTTTAAGGAATATTGTAATTGTCACGTTACTTTTTTTCGGAAGTAATTTGTAATGTAATTTCGTTACAAAATGTTGGTAAAGGATTACTTTAATTCCTCGTTATTTTTTAAAAAATGTGAGTATACTACAGTAACTGGAGCAATACAAGAACATTCAGCGGCATAACGAGAGCAAGTTCAAGAAAATAGAAAACATCAGGAAGGGGAAAATAGCCGAAAAGAACACGATTTGTTATATTACCGGTCACTAGAACCACTAGAAAAACGGGCCACGCACGTACAAGTAAAAGAAAGACAAAGATCAAGTAAGACAACGTCGAATAGGCTCTCCGTCGTCTTCCATCGTGTTTTTCTTCTTCTCCCAGACAGGAGAAAGCTCTTCGTGTTTATTTGTTTTTTGTCTTTTACACGTTTCACCCTTTCCAATTTCTTCGACGTCTCCCGCCACCTGCACAGACATCAAAAGCGGGTCCCCCTCGATTCGCAAGTTCACAGCTCGCGTAACGTACGATGTAGCCTCGCGCGAGGGGGTCCAATTCTCTTTGCCTTTGATATGTGTTACAGTATTCTAGCATGCTCTTGAGGTATGGCTCAAAAAGCGCCCGGCGCGAGGCTAAGAGCATCGTTTTCGAGGGTAGGGCAGACATGGAAGTAATCCGTTGCGAGTAACGGGACTACTTGTAATCCGTTACTTTTTTTGTAATTTAGTAATCAATCTATTACATTTCTGAAATTGTAACTCTAAAGTAACTTCATTACTTTCCGGGTAACGAATTACTCAAAAATACTCGTTACTTTCCCACCATCCGGCGAAAAGAAAATGTATGGTGGAAGAAGGGCGATGCAACTATATCTGCGCTTCTAACTCGGTCACACAAGATGCGGGTTCCAGGCGAAGGAAGTGCTAGCCAGGGAGAGAAAAGGAATTCATGGAAAACGGGACAGCGCTGTGTTCCTAGCAACACTCCGAGTGCACCCTCCCGCGGCTCGGGAGAAGGGAGGTGCAGAAGCCGTGCTTTGACACAAAGACGGGGTTCGGTGTTTTATTGTCCAGCGTCTGCGACCACTTCCGGACAACTCAACGAGCGGGTCCTGACCTTCGCTGCACGTTTCAAGAGCAGAAAGAACGTATACCAGCAATCGTTAACCAAACGGGGGGACCGAAGCACATGTGAGTGTGTATGTTAGCGCGCGTGAGATGGGATGAGGAAGGAACGGACTTGAAGAAGCTTGTTCGGGCAAATGCGGTGACCAAACCGTGACACCTTCACATATTAATGTCCCAATTTTTTTTTTCCTTGGAGGATGAAAAGCGATGGATTCAACGAGAGAGGACCAAATGCGGCAGGCCGAACCGAGAAGGATGCTTCGAGAAAGGACCTTGTGAGAAGCTCGAAATCAGAACGGGCTCGAAAGATAACCAGCTGTCTGCGTTTTCTTTTCGTGTTTGATCGTTTATTGATGTTTCCACCTAAGCGCGATCACCCCGCAAACACACACAGAACAGCGTGGGGCCTGGCCTCCGTTCACGCCTTAACGTTGTAAAAGCTCAATATTGCAGTCCAACCAGCTGTGCGCTTTGTGCCAAGTGACTTCCCACTAGCGGGTTCGTGTAAGTGGAACATGCGTCGGCGATATGACACCGGCCGCTTATTGTAACAGAAAAATCGTCAGTTTAAACGGAGATCGGCCAAATACCCTCGTCACGTTCGACGGCAAACAATGAGCAGGCAGTGGAGACTTCCAAACCGCATTCTCGAAAATGAGAATGTTGAAGGAAGTTCCAGTTGGGGGTCGGTGGTGGTTGTCTTAGCGGACTGTGCATGCGGGAAGTTAGACCGAAACTTTGGGGAAAGGAAAGCAGCGAATAAGCAGTGGCTGACATGGACACTCGAGTTGAGGCAGGAGCGGGCTGGCAAGGCACTTGCGTAATGGTTCTCACTTTTCTGTTCAGTTTTGCACGCCGTCAAGGATGTCCTTGTTATGTGCAAATAATAATAATAGTAATTATTATTATTTTTAAATGTGTGAGAGACGTGGGCGAGTGCTGATACTGATACTTTTTGATAATTTCTTCACGGCATACGCGATTCCGCCATGGCTTTGAGCATTAATATTTAAATTAGGTGAACAAGAAAAAAAAAGTCATTCGGTCGGATAGCAACATTCATCAAGCAGCAGTCTTCGAAACGTATCCGAAAGGAAGTAAAACATTTTGATCTCACTACTAAACCTCCTAAAATAGCAACAATAGCCCTTTAGCGACATGAAGCAGCCAGTGCTGGCTCGTGGAAGGAGAGTTTTTTGCAGTTCACGGATACTGAACTATGATTATTTTGAGTCGTGTCTGTGGTCTCCGCCAGCATTAGAAAGTGTATTGCCCAAATGCAATCGTTGTATGTTCATGTGATGCAACTCTGTCTCGGTCGATTATATGCTGGACCCATTTATCTCAAACACCAGTTTAAGTCATTTATTATTTTATACGTTTGACCTCTTAATGTTATTAACCTTAACCTATGTGACGAATTCTACTGAGTGCATTTGATCCGGGTTTTATTATTGATGAGGCAATAAATGCCGCCCCGAAAACACACAGTAAACATTGAATGTTTTTTGTGAGTTTCTTTGGAGTAACGCAAAAGTAATCGAGTAAAGTCACGAAGTAATTAATTGATTACTTTTTACGGCAAGTAATTTGTAACGGTAATCAGTTACATTTAAAGTCAAGTAATTGTAATGGTAATTGATTTCTTTTGAGTAACGGGCAGAAGTCTGGGGTACGGATGATACTTCTTCTGGTTTAATTATCTGGGAATGGTGGTCGAGTCTACTCCTCACTTTACAGTAGGGGGAGGAGGTTACACCATCTAGGGAGCGCTGACACAGAGAAAGAGAGAAGGCGTAAAAGAGGTGTGATCCTCTATTGTTTTGTGAGACCGATAGACACCGCTTCTCTCGCTCTCCATTCCCTCCCCTCCCGTGGCCTCCACGAATATCGCCAATATTCGTGCCATATTGGTATGAAATTGAGAACCGATGAACAATTGATAACCCGTAACCGCTACTTTTTCTCTGACTGGTCGAGTTTTCGTTCATGGAGTGTCCGTCGTCTCCATGGCCATCTCTTAATGAGATGTTCAAAATTCAGGGCATTAAGGAGAACGGAAACCTAAAGTTTCAGTGCATACTTCTGCTTGCCGTAAAAACATATACTGTAATCAGCAAGAACAAACTCTAACCTACGAAAACAGATCAAGGTAAGCAGGGACAACTGCATTCTGCATTGGCTATAGATTGTATCGTTAGAACGAAGTTTTTATTTTTGTGAATAACAGGTGAAATACAAGAGTCAAGAGGGAGCTTTCATACATCGCTTCTTTAGCTCCAAATCTCGTAGATGGAGGCAGACGCTGTTACTGAGAATGAGCACCGCTAGCTTTGTCTGCACAATTCCAGGGATCATTTTCGGAGGCCTTAAGCTAACGGGATGGTGGGTGTGGTTGCAGCTATCGGTGCCTTGTCAGCTTACAGGTGAACGGAGAGCACCTACACTCTTTCTATTAATACAATATTTTATTTTTACAAAGACTACTATAATATGGGCATATGAGAAATAAAAAGTAGTGTTGCAGAACATTTTTGCAAAATATCAAAATCGTTTTATAATTTTCTGGTTAAGTGTACGGAAAAAGTAACGTGAAAGTAATTTTAACGTAACGAGTAAACTAATCCGTTAATTTTGAGCAAAAGTAAATTGTAACTTGTGGGTTTTCCCTTTGGGGGTACCACTTAGAAACACAGAAGGTTCCTTGGGTCCTAATATAGACGTGTTTATTGACTCAAATGCCAACACGCTTCCGCTCTTAGACAAGAGAAGTCTGGGCGCTGGCTCAATTGCCAGTATCACCCGGTCGGTTTCCCGCGCTGCCACATTAGACAGATTCACGGGAAGTCGGAGGCCCACAAAGAAAAACGGAGCTCCGTAGAGCCAGGGCCTCCGCCGACGAGAGCCCCTGGCCCACGTTCGGGGCCAGCTTATGTAGCCTCGGAGAATGGACGCGCCCGGGGAGGCCGCTAGCAGTCGCGTCCATTATAACTCTCAAGGGTGCGCCAGTGGCACATTAACCCAAAATGGGCAAGGGAGCGCCGGCCCCTTCGGGGAATTCGGCCTCGGTTCCTTGTGTCCGGGAGGCCGACGCCATTGGTGACGACGGCTCCCACGGCCTGCTCGAAGCTAGGCCTGGATAGGGATAGAGGGAACCCCATGGTTCCCACAAACTGTAATCCATTATATTTGAGGCTCGGTAATTTGTAATTGTAATCTATTACATTTTTCAAGTAGCGAGCACAAGTCTGCCAAAGACAAGCTGCCGAGATAGTGACGATATGATTGAAACTTCTAAGTCAATCTTCTAAGCTTCATTGAGAGCAGGGCGTGCAGTTAACTCTTTGCGCGCAATTTTTAAATCTGGTGAAAAACGTGAATATGTATAAAATAACTTTTTAATAATAATTGTTTTCCAAATTCTCCTAATTTACTGGTATGGCAGCTATTAGCAATGGCCGTCAATACTGTAATTGCATTACGACTCCTAAACTAAAAATTTAAAAAGCTAGCTGATTAACAAATGACACTTAACCAAATACCGTGACGACTATCCCCTCATCTAATATCCTTCGAGCTTGATAAATACTTGGTTAAGACGTCACTCATCAAAATCTCAACACGTTTTTTTTAAGGTGGATTCGAGTTAAAACTCATTCACCCTGTATACCGAAAACATGGAACCATATCATTTTAAGGGTGAACTTTTCAAGTACACGTAAATGTCAAAGTTATACCTGCATTATCTTGACTGCCCTCCTGATTTCCGATGGCGTGAAGTAAAGAAAGTGAGAGATGTGAAGTCCATCCAGATCAACAACTCCTACGACGCCTGTGATTTGGTTCGTCGGAACCATAAGATTGCATTCTGTCCCAACAAGCACCAATCTGAAGAGCTCGTTCAGTGAACAGACAGCCGGATTCCAGGCACCTAAGAAGAAATGTTTGGAGCCAGAATGTTAACGTATTTGGTTCATTTTATTTATTGACACTGCCAGCCCGTGAGGGTTATTAGAGGAGTGGAAATCACAGCGCAGTGAAGGTGGTTCTTGATGACACAGCGCATTTCGTGAGGTTGCCACGGGACCCCACTTCAAAATCTGAGATATCCCTTGTCGATAACCTCCGTGACTGAAAAAGAAGAAACACCTATCCGGTGCCAACCACCGTCGTCTTTTTTCTTTTGATGAATCTCCTCCTAAAGTTTAGTGACTTCCTAAAGTTCCCAAACCCGAGGGTTCATTGCGCTAGATTGTTTCATTCATTGTTACTTCCATTTACAGCCTATCAAAATTTAGAACTCATCACTCCCGTAAGCGAAACAAACAATTTGATAGTACGTAATTCCCAGGAGTTCGTGGGATACGTTTCAGGTCAGCACCTTGACGAGGATGAAATAATGCTTTTTTTCGATGTCTATTTGTTTACAAATGGTCCCAGCCCTCTGGTTGAAAGAGTAGCTCAAACGCGCTAGCTCCACTCAAGCCCATCGTTAACACTCTAGGACATTGTTATGCTGTTACTGCTTTGCCTCAGTCAGTCTCATAGGTTTAGTTGACAAATTTATCACCAGCAGTGTTGCCGTTGGGGGCTGTTTTGCGCCGAATTGGCTACTCTCAAGTCTATCTGGCGGCAAAAAAAAAAATTAAGTTTGGCTCCCTGGCTTCCCTGGCTACATTTTTTTAACTTAAATTCTGGCGCATTTGTAGTCAAATCAATATTTCTGTATACAAACAGACAGAGAGATGACACATTACTTCTGTCATTACGATAGGCTTTAAAAAATACTAAGAACCACCTGACACTTTCCGATCATCACAATACTGAACGAGTGGCCAATCAGAAATCTGAGATGAACAAAATCCTTAGCTTCGTCGAAATCAGTCATTATTAGCCAACTAATCTTTTTTTGTGTTTACTACACAGCCAGAAATACGACAGATAATTTTTGGGCATTACTACGGGCTTTAAAAAGACAAGAAAAAAAAACTTGGCACATTATGGTTATCACGATACTGAATGAGAAGCCCATCACGTGGCCACAAACGTAAGGTAAACAGGAGCATCAGCTGATGCTTCGCTAAGATAAACAAAACCGCAGCCCAGGCTTCGTCCGCGGTTCGGAGGCTCAATACCATCAATCCAGAAACCGTAACCAAGAGCCGCGCAGACATATTGAGACATCCAGCTCACTTTTCTGGACCTTTTTCTCACGAACTCAAATTAGTAATCCGTTACCTGTAGTCTGTTTCAAGCACCTTGGAGCATACGACCTGCCTAAGCGTTTGACACGATGCCGCCGCTTACAAGGGCCCTTCTGGCGTACACCCTTTTCCTTACCTCTCAAAGGGTGCTCTAAAAATCTTATCACTTTCCATATAGAACGCGGATTCCGAGCGTGTGATCTCTCAAATATCGTTAACAAAGCCGAAACGTAATGAAGCTCGACGTCCGTGAGGCAATTCTGAGGCTGAAGGTCGGGCTGGGGCTGCATGAAAAAACATCCTGAACTTTTGACTTGCCCATTGCGCTTCTTTAGCCAATGAACCTCAATTGCACTAGATGCGGTAGCTTTTATTCGTGTCGATTGCGGTTGCACAGAGCAATATTTTCCCTAATATTTCCATTTCTTGTAGAGTTTAATTTTGTACACTTTTTATGATGTATTTCTTTTTTAAAAATACGGTGACGACACATTCGGCGCGAAAATAAATAAACTGCACACGTTTGGATACAGTCGGTTTGTGCTTTGGCTACTTCAATCGACCCCCCAATGGCAACACTGATCTTCACGAGATTCAAGGTTGTCCAATGGGTAGTTTGGTGTCAGCGACTATGGCGACTCTTGTCATGGAGCAGGATGAGGAAACCGGTCTACAGCGGAGTGTGCACCCAGTAAGGTTTTATAGGCATTACGTGGACGACACTCACGTAATTTTAAATAAAGACAGTGTTAATCACTTTTATTTCACTTTGAAGAGCGCTTAACCGTGAATACAATCTCACGTGAAAAAGAACGAAACGGTACACTGTCTATCCTAGATGTTAATGCATGCCCAAACAGCATTACACACGTAGAAACAGCCGTACAGCGCAAAACATGCTGGACAAGTAACTTCTTAAATCTCAACTTAATCACCCGGTTGAGCACAAAAGAGCAGTCGTAAAAAAATCGGGCAGGAGCAAATATTCTGCAAACAATTATATTTTTTTCGGTGGCTGTAACGCTCAAGCCTAATTACCGCACACCTTACTCAGGTATAAAGAAAAGGAATCTTCTGTATTTCACAAGTATTATATCCTAACTTCTAGATTAATCTGTGTGTGATCATTTGAATGCTGTGCTTTTTTTTACGCACCAAACGTATTTTTGTGATGTCGCGGTGCGCAGACCAAATGTTCCCTCCATTCATAATTAGGGATGCAAATGCGTTTTTCTTTCTTTCTTTCTTTCTTTTTTTGGGGGGGGGGGGGAGGGGGGTTCTACAAGGTAAATCAATTTAGTGCGCCCCTTGTTGGTCATCGATGAACCATCCGGCGGTGATCAAAGTCGTACGGCTTTGAGCCATTTTCGTAACCGCGATCCAACGTACAACGCGTTTAATCTCAAATTAGAAGGCTAGCTACATTCAATTCAAGGTTAGGCTGCATGGCGTGGCAGTGGAAGCCTTGAGCTCGCCGGACCCCTGAGTCACCTATATTTTATAACCTGTCCTGTTATCTTTTATAACCCCCCGTTCGTAGGCATGCGTAGGTGGCTTGGTTTTATAAAATTTGATCTCTCTATTCAGCACTACTAACCGAAAGGTTCGAAAGTTGTTTCGTGGAGAATCCGACTCACCCAGCTTGACAATGACAATCAGCCTTCCCAAAGAATCACGCTCCTTGGGAACAGTCAATAGCTTGTTTTGGTGCAGTGTCGCATCGTACAAGATGCGTGACGGCAGCAGATCGTCGAAAAGGTCGGTGTATTCCTGGCGGACCCGGAAATACCTCCGAATTATATCCAGGGTTTCCCTCACGTGGAACTTCCGGCTACGCAGGAACTTCACCAGGAAATCTTCGTCCAAGGGGCAATGCAATACCGGATCCTCTGTCAAGGGTGCATGGAGTGAGGTATGTGTCGGAAATGCCCAATCTATTAATTCGTACATGGATCTCTTATCACTGGCAAGCAAAATCACTTATGTACAGCACTCGCCAAACTTATCCTCAACACGCCAACGGTACCTATTCTCGTGAGAGCGCTTTCCTGACCTCAGTCAAAGAACTACAGCTTGAACTAGCGCTGAATGAAACAGCCTTAGCAGTAGGGTGACCAGACGTCCCGTTTTGGCCGGGACAGTCCCGTTTTTGAGGTCCGTTTCGGCCGTCCCGTCTTTTTGTCCCATTAAGGAATCATTCCCCTTTTTTGCAGGAGTGCATAATTTTGAAATTGGCACAGAGCGAGTTGAAGCAAGCGGAAACTATACCAACTTGTTACAATTATATTTAAAAAAAAACAAAAAAAAAACGTAGTTACTTTAAAATATTTACCCAGTAAAATTGAGAGTACTATCCTTGCCCACAAACACGTTTTTTGTCAAGACTCGTGAATAGAATTATTTTTTCTTGTTACTGAATTCAGCACGCATGTAGTACGTTAACGCTTTAAAATAGCAGTTCTTGCAATAACTCTTTTCTCCCAATCTCAACCTTTAATATGCCTCCCCTCCTCTCCCTCCCTCCCTCCCTCCCTCCCTCCCTCCCTCCCCCCCCCCCCCCCCCCCCCCCCCCCCTCAGGGCACGCTGGACCGTGGACACTGCGGCTATTTTGACGTTCAGCCAATCTATTGTTACAGCCACCTTTTCGCACGAAGGTGCAAAGGTGACTGTCGGAACAGTCAGTAATTGAATAATTCGATCAGAAAGCAATGAGTCTTCCTACTGAATAAGCTGAAAATCGTATAACGCATCGAAGGAAAAACTGCTGCGTTGTCCCGTGCCCAACAGCGATTTCGGTCTTGAGCAAGCAGCCTACCCTCCCATACTTCGTCTCAGCTTAAGTCGAGATGCAGCCGACGCTACGAGGAAATGGCATGGGATGAATCAAGCAACGTCAAGAGTGCAAGTCACTGGTCCTTTTACGTTTATGATTGGTTCAGCGACGATAGAATACGTACAGACACATGACAAACACCATGATGGTGCGGTTTTGACGCTCTCTAAATTGGTCTTATTTGCTCGTAGCCTTCGCTTCGTCTATACTTGAAATGAAACGACGTATGGAACTGTTCTATTGAGCGCTGAGTCGTGGATCAGTTTTTCCGCTGCCGCCAGGATAGCACGTCCATGAAATCAGATGTCGTTGACGTGTTCCGGACAAGTTTGCCGAGCACTGAACACACGTTTGCATATGCGGCCTTTGAGCACCGCCACTTTGGTGCTGCTGTGTGGACATCACGCGATCCGCCAGTTTAAATAATAAATAATAAGCTCTAACCTTTCGAACGGACATTAGGTTGTTGCGCCAAGGGTACGCCTTTCTTCGGTTAGACATCTAGTCTATTAAATTTGGATATTCATTTATACTCCCCAAATCCTTTTAGAGGAGAGGGGGGTTTAAGTTGCCTGGTTGACGGAGGAGGGAAAGAAGCGGAGGTGGTCGAGGCTCGGCTGACTAAGGTGATTCGCGCGCTAGCCTTTAGGCGGATTTCAGATTTTGTTGCCCGGCAAGCGTATGCAAATCTGGGCGCCGGCTAAAAGCTTCTCGCTGAATGAGTAAGGTGTATTTATCCGAGCCTCGGACCTGTTCTCCTCTCTTTCTCCCCGTAAACCAGGCGATGTGGCAAACATGCGGAGGCGCTAATCACTGCGCCCAAATTGACTCGTTGTCTTACTTCACGGGCTTTACCGAATGCGCCGTCCCTTCACCATAACTTCTTTATAAATAACCAAGTTCGTAGTCCCATAGTGCCTTATGCATCATTACAGGTTCATTTGAATTTTACTTTCCCCAATATTATTATCTTATACACTTAAATTTTTATACCAGGCCTTAGCGGTCTCAAGTTGCTCCTCATTCATACAGCCCATTTTATCCTCCTTCTTCCTACTTGCGTGATAATTACTGCTTATTCTCGAAGCGTTTCATTTCCAAAAACTTCGTGAGATATACAAATTCAAGCTTTCCGATGACCAGACCTTATTACCTTTATGTATACGTTTAACGGAAGTCCACCACGTCATTGCGTTTCCATTTACCGGAAAGAAGCGCCCGCAGTTGAGCCACGGCTTCTTCTTTCACTTGCGGTGTTTCACCGAGCTCTCGCTTGGCAATCATCTCCAAGTCGGGGGAAATTCTTTCCATGGTCAAGCTGGGTGGGCTGCCTGATCGGCTCTGAAAGAATCATTCAAACCCACAATTGTGTAAGCGTCAGCTAGATTTCGCCAGAAAATATACCATACGATATTTTGAAACGTCTCGTACTTGGTACGCAGTACAATCGAGGCCGCTGGCACGCCAGTTGATTTGATACTGTAGTGTACCAAACCCTACTCACGCTTCGAATACATCGAACAAAAGACAGTCCGCAAACGCTTTCTGAGGCATGTTTTTAATGCGAAAGCATTAACTGGGTCCCATGGAGCGATCCGACGTCATCAGCTTTGAAACCACGCCAAACGTTTGCGAAACGGCACCTAAAATCCCCTTTTCCAAGTGAAGCCGATTTCTGATGGATTATGCTGCCACGGGGTAACGCGCGTTTTCAAGGAACCAGAGGCCAGATTCACGAAGAGCTTCTTAGTTTACGACAACTTAGCTAAGAAGTTCGTAAGTTAAGAACATCGTAAGAAGGGGAGAAATCGGTATTCACGAACGCGTTCTTAAGTGAGAGGAGGAAAGCGACGTTGTCGTACGGAAAAACTAAAACATACCGGAGCTGTTGCTATGGCGACGGCGTCTTCGGCAGCACGAACAACCAATCGGAGAGCTCGGCATTTGTTCGGAGCCGTTCGGAGCCGTTCGGAGCCGTTCGGAGCACGTGGATTTTTCATAACAAATACAGGCGGCCTTTCTGCCACCGCTTTATTTATTTATTTATTGAAAGTACCCTCAGGGCCCGAAGGCATTACAGAGGGGGAGAGCACATACATGAAACAAAGATAGTAATATAGTAACAGGTCAACAATATTAAATATACAACAAACAAAGAATAATAATAATAATAGGTCATGGGTCACTGCTAAAATAGCTAGTGATGGAATTTCTAAACAGGTTAGTATCAGTTATAGTAGCAATCAAACCAGGGAGGTGGTTCCATTCCTCGGCTGTGCGGGGTAAAAAAGAAGATTGAAATGTTGTGGTAAACGAGCTTGGAACTCCAACTTTATGCTGATGGTCAAGACGGGATGAAATGTAAAAGGGGGGAGTAATCATCCGATTGCGTAGGAGAGGGATATGAAAATACATTTTATGAAATAGACATAGGCGTGAAATTTTACGTCGCAAGGAGAGAAGTGGTAAACATAAACTATTTTTCATTGATGTGACACTAGCAGTACGATGGTAGTTGGAAAGAATGAAACGGGCTGACCTATTCTGAATGGATTCCAATGCAGTGATTAGAGTATCGTGACCGGGATCCCAGATGGAGGCTGCATATTCTAATTTAGGCCTGATTAATGTTTTGTAGAGGATCAATTTTAGTGAAATAGGTGCCAATGAAAAGTTGCGTTTTAAGTAGCCCAACATGCAGTTAGCACGGGTAGTAACATACTGAATGTGGGGTTTCCATGAAAGGTTATTTGTTAAGTGAACACCAAGGTACTTGTACGTTGCCACTTGCTCCAAAAGGTTGCCATCTAGGTGGTAACAGTGACTGTTGTTAGGCTTGCGGGACACTCTCATCTGTTTACATTTACTAGTGTTTAGTTTCATTAGCCATAATTCACACCAACGAGAGACAGAGTTAATATCAGACTGAAGTGTAGACAGGTCAGAATCGTGACAGATTTCACGGTAAATTACACAGTCATCGGCAAAGAGACAAACGGATGAAGACACATTAATGGGAAGATCGTTAATATAGATTAAAAATAGTAGTGGGCCTAAAACCGACCCTTGAGGAACTCCAGAATTCACAGACACGGGAGGAGAATTTTCGTTGTTAATTGTTACAAATTGTGAACGGTTATTTAGAAAAGACCGAATCCATGCGAGAACGTTAGGGTCAATGTTAAGTTTTGAAAGTTTTAACAGTAATAGCTCGTGACACACCTTATCGAATGCCTTGGCGAAATCTAAGAAAATGCAGTCCACCTGGGAGCCTCGGTCAAGAATAGAATGAATGTCATGAGTGAAGGATAGGAGCTGAGTATCACAAGATAATGATTTACGAAATCCGTGCTGTGCTTCGGTGAAAAAATTATTCGACTCTAGGAAATGTACGAGTTGGGAAAAGATAACGTGTTCCAGAAGTTTACATGGTATGCTGGTTAATGAAATGGGACGATAATTGTTAGGGGAATACTTATCGCCACCTTTCGGAATTGGAACCACCTTCCCCACTCGCCAATCACAAGGTAAAATACCACCTTGCAGCGACTGTTCAAACAATTTTGAGAGAATAAGAGATGAGTATAGTTTAGTGTTTTTTTAAAAACTTGGAATTAATTCCGTCCACTCCTGATGAGGATGATAACTTCAGTTCATCTATAATTTTTGCAATACCAGCAGGATCAACAAAGATAGAATCCATTGGCAGATAACAGGAACAGCTCATCGAAGGGTAAGTTATGTTGCGAATATCGGAGAAAGATTCCATAAATATACTATTTAAGACATTAGCACATTCGTCACTGGGCACGCTGTCACCACTAGAAGTTGTAAGAGAAATTGAAAAACGGTCCTTTTTGTTAACAGTATTCCAAAATTTAATGGGGTTATTTACCAACATGTCTGGAAGACTATGTGTGAAAAAGTGAGATTTAGCGCCTTCAATCGCTTTTTTGTACACTTCTACAGAATTGTGATATGCGGCCCAGCGACGCTCACACTGGGAAAACTTGGCCGCACGGTACAAGCGCTTTTTTTTTATTTGACAGTCTCTTCAGGGCTTTCGTGAACCAAGGTGACTGATTATTTTCAAGTATATTTCGGAGCGGCACGTATTTGTTGATAAGGGAGATTACCTTATCTTTATACAAATTCCAGTTTTCGTCAACCGAGCGCCCCGAAAAGTCTGTCAAATACTGGTCAAAGAAAACCGCAAGATCATTGTTGATCTGATCGAAATTCGCTCTACTGTAATCGCGTATTTTCTTTCGTTGGTCAGTCGGCCTAGATACCGATGTTTTGAAATGAAAATGTAACAGAGTGATCACTGATCCCTGGAAGATAAGTTATGTCACTTGCATGTTCAGGGTGAGTAGCCAATATTAGATCTAAAACACTTGCTGTCGTCGGAGACACTCTGGTGGGATGAAGAACTAATTGCGACAGGTTAAAATCGAGACACAAGTTAATGAACGAATTACACTCTGTAGTGTGTACATTCATACAATGAACGTCATCTGACCATGATATAGCGGGAAAATTGAAGTCACCCAGAAGGAAGATGGGTGCGCTGGGATACCGCATCACTATTCTGTTAATGGCGTTATGCAAAGTCTCAACAAATGACGACGAAGATGAGGGTGGCCGATAACATACTCCCATGATCCACTTCTTATGGTTCAAAACAAGGCCGACCCAGGTTAGTTCTATATCGCACGCAATGTTTAATGAAAAAGATTTAATATGGTCAGCAATTGCAATCAGGACGCCACCGCCACACCTGTCCTGTCTATCGTTCCGATACACATTGAACTTTTTTGAACCATCAAACAGTTCACTGTTCCGTATCCTCCCAGAAAGCCATGTTTCGGTTAGAACAACAACATCAGCATCGGTAGTATCAATGATGGAACACAATTCATCACGTTTTTTTATTACACTCCTTATGTTAGTAAACAAAACAGAGACGTCGGAAAACTGTGACAGCCTAGCTCTACCCCTCGACAAATCCTACGTTGGCGAGCGCGCCTCAGCGGAATCTTGAGTAAGAGATGACTGTGTCTGGGGAATCGTCGGCTGTGCGGGAGAGACAATAGGCAAACTAGAAGGACCTAGCTCGTAGACTTCGCCATTTGTCGAGTTGAAAGCGTAACACCGGTTGTTAATGTGCAGCTTGTTGTGCCTAAGCTTAAACGTTCCTCCCTTAGATTTACCAAATTCTAACAGTCTTTTTCTCGCATTACGCGTAGCAAGCGAAAAGTCTTCGCTAACCGTAATACGGTGCGTTTTGAATGCTTGTCTTGCCATCAGGATCTGGTCCCGCAGTTTAAATGACGAAAATTTTATAATTATAGGTCGGCATTTTTCGTGATAAAATCTTCCGAGACGATGAGCCCGAACAATAGAGTCGCCCGTAACTGGCATGCCAAGGGACGTTCGAAAAACGCTCAACATTCTTTCTTCCGTCTGGGCCCAAGTTTCTGATATGGTGTCAGTAACCCCAAAAAATATCAGATTGTCTCGACGGGACTGATCTTCCGCCTCGTCAAGACGTGCTCGCAACGCAATATTTTCGCCTTGTAAACCATCAGCAACATTTCTGGCGTCGATTACTGCTGTTTGAAGTTGTGCTACAACAGAGGCGCTGGATTCGACTGCAAGGAGCCTCGAGTTGATGTCTGAGATGTTGGCCCTCATTGTTTCTTGGTTCTGTTTAATCTCGTTAATAGATGTTAGGATTCCCGATTGTGACGATTGAATCTGTATTGATCGCGCGTTAACGTCAACAAGCATTTGATGCATTTCATTAAACTGTTTCAACTGCTCGGTGTTCATCGGACCAGGATTGGTTTCCACATCGCCAGAGGTGAAAAGCAGGAGGCTAAAGACGTCAACACATTCGCACATGGTTTCAGATAGCACTTGTGAGCACGGGAACACAAATAAGAAGACATTGCTAGTTCTTTTAGCGTATAATGAGGGGGATGAACCAACCTGTACGAACAAGAAGAGGGCTGCGTAAGTCGACTGCATGTTACAGGTGCTCCCGTGCTCACTCAAGGCGGCGAGGCGCCGGCTGGCGTTTATATCGGCTCTGGATGGTGGTGGCGATGTCGATGTGACTGTTGACGTTGTCGATACGGTGAAACTGTCGTCGAGGTTTATGTGGCGACGTGGCCACAGATGCGCAGCACTTTCTTGAAGCGGAAATCCACTGTCACGGTGATCCACGCAGTTTGGCACGCGCTCTCGAAGAATGAACTCCCTTGAATCCTGAACCGTCATCAGCCCGAAAGCCGGCAACGGGAAGCAGACGATGACCTGTACGAACAAGAAGAGGG